TACTTCCTTACATCTTTTCGCAAATCGAGGAAATACCGTCTGCCCTGCTGATTTTGGATAATGTAAATCGTTCGAAGCATGGAAAATGTATATAATGTTAGAGAGTTCATGCGATGTAACTGTTCTCGACGTGTTGCTTGACGATTTCCACGCCCGATATTCGAGTAGTCTTGTTGCCCAATTTATGGTGCTGAAATTTGAGAATCGAATCGCTTCACTGGTGTTTGTGCGGGTTTCTTGATTGCTAATTAGATTCAGATTATTCTTCCAGGCTTGGTTATGGAGTAGCTGAAGCAATTGTTTTATTTATAGTGGAAAAAGTTAATCAAAATCAAATTGATCAAAGGCATGTGGAGTATCGTCTTGATGAAATCAGTGGACAACAGGTCCGGTGCATGCGTGTTACTCTGACTGAAAGTGCCAAGAGGTGAACAGTTTGTTCATTAATTTTTGCACCGTAAAAAGTTGCGTAGAAGTGGGAAGAGACAAAGAGCTTTGCAGAGTGGTGTCGAAAAATATTAAGTGAACATAACTAAAGTTACCAGTGAGGGTGAAATGATTCACTTGTATGCGTCTATGGAGTTGCATGGGCGCGCGGCAAGCTCAGGACCGAGCGATATTGAAAAGCTATTAGTTGCATAAATGATGGTAAGAACACAGCATTGAAAGAGCAGCGGTCTAAAGTATCAAAGTATGTTTGGACTGTTCGTTAGATGACAGGAAGTGTGAAGACATGTTACTCCAGTGACCGCTCATGGAAAACCCGTCGAGTAATGCCACTCCGTAACAAATAGTTCGAGTAAAAAAGGGCGAGTCGGACAAGTTTTGAAGTGACCGCATACACGAGAAGATATAATATGTTAAGATAAAAATGGGACGAAAAGGCTGGACATATGTTGATATGAATGTTTCTCTTTGGATACTCCACGCCAGAATCACACGAGATAGAAAACCGAAAACTGACAAGTTGGAAATCAATTTTGCGAGCATATGCAGTACACAAATTTGAAATCATTTTCTTAGCTAAATAATGAAATGGACTGCTTGTGCCCCGTTGGTCTCAAATTCCTTACGTGCTTCAAAAAAAGGAAAGCAAAAATGCTCAGTGAATTCGAAACGAACATTCAAGAGTTTTTTTTCATTGTTTAGATTGAATGTGGATGAAAGTAGTCATCATCTGTATTTGGACGACACCCACCGTGTAGGAGTAGTGTATTTCCGAGCCGGATATTCACCAGACAATTATCCAACAGAGAAGGAATGGACAGCACGACGTATTATGGAGCTGTCGGACGCGATTAAATGCCCTTTTATCGGACTGCAGTTGGCGAATACTAAAAAAGTGCAGCAGGTACCGGAAGCAGTCGTGGATTTTTTTAACACTTTTAGATTTTTGATCAATCCAGTGTTGTCAAAATTCGCTCCACATTTTACTCCCTGCAAGGAATCGAGGCGTTTCTAAGAAATATAGCGAGCTGTTGGCGGAACTGTCGATGGCTACTTTTTTGAGGGTTGTCCGGGAAGCAAGCTGGCGATAGTTTGACTCCTTGGCGTGCTTCAACATCGATTTGTTGTGGAAATTAATCATCGTCTCTTTTGAATTCGTTTTATTCTGCAGAGGATTCATTTTGGGTCATATTTTCGGCTGAGGATTTATTTTCATCATGTCGCGTACTCATAAATACCCATGAATTCATAATCAACACGAAGTAATAATCCCAGCATCTTGCGTGCCATTATTTGCCGTATATTCTCTGGCTTCTCTTCTGATGCAGGTATTGTCGGAAGAGGGTGTTGTCGAGAAGTTCATTGAAGATGCAGCTTTATGCATAAAGATTCGAAGGACTTTCGCTTGCATGTGGGGTCTTGGAAATGATGACCGCAGAACGGAAAATGCGGTTGACGTAAGTTGGAATATTCTCAGTTATTGTTATATTACTAGTTACCTAGAAGTTGAGGAAAATCCAGTTACTTTGAATGAATTTTTTATTAACAATCGAGGGCAAAGCTCTTGTAGTCTTATATGCTGATAT